TAAACCTTATATATATAGCGGTACGTTGCTCCACTCTCATGCTTTCAAGTAAGCAGATCTTAAAGTGAGTGCAGTATTCGCTTTCTTGATTCCCTTTTCGCGAAAATTAAACCATTCATCAGCTTTTTTTCGCAATTACAGTGGAAGCTTAAAATACTAAATCGCGAAAATTGCCAGCAGCTAACAATTCGATAACATTCCGACATGAAAACTCTGGCTTTTTCGATAGTGTTATCACTTTTGGCAAGGAATTAGAAACAGATGGTGGGACAAAATTTTGTTGTACAATAATTCGATAAAGCAAAAAAGTGGAAATACTTACTTTTGCTCGTTTTTGCTCTTCTAAATCGAGCACAACATCGACATTATGTATAAGACGACATGTATCACAGCAACATCCATATTTCTGCAAAAAATCCAACAAAAAAAGTTAAATACTCATCTTGAATGTATATAATTGCAACTGTGACCCTCAGGTTTCGTGTAATTAAAAAGTTGTTTTATCAGATGTCCGCTGCTGCGAAGCTTGTACAAATTGATATTTACTATTTTGATAGCAGTAATTTAAACTACCTAACCTATTGGCACGAGTATGCATAAAAAGTTAGCACAATTCTATGTCAGGCTTTGCTGGCATAAACCTGCTATAACCTAAACTTTGTACGTCGAGAAGCGACGTTCCCACCGGAGATCAGAACTCTTACAGGGATCCGACTCCCCTTTTCCAGTCCACCATTTCTCCAGCCAACTTTCTCACCGTGGATTAGAGATCTACGATAGTAAAATCCATCTCTGGTTCCCATGGCACCCATTCTGGAAACCCGGATGAAGGCTGCTGGCTGCATTACGTCCCGGAAACTGGTTTCTTTCTTAAAAATTCTACTTGCTAATCTGTAATATTATTTACCGGAACTGCCAATCAAATTTCAAAAAAGATGTAATTGTCCATCTGTAAAGATCCAATCTTACGGTGCATAAAAAAATCAGGGAAACTGCCAAGAGAGGAAAAAATCCTGGAAACCATCATACAGATCCACCATCAAAATTCCGGCAATCCCTAGAGGAAAGCGATGTTTCGAGGGAGAGATTCATTGGTGGAAATCGCTTTGATCGCAGTGGCTTGAACCGGGTAAAAATCGTAACAAGTTTTCGATAGGTGAGCCTGTGGAAGGATCATTAACGAAATTTGATCAAAATTGATGGATGTGCGAAGGAGTAAAACTGGACATACCGCGTAATGTTCGCAGACCAATCGGGCCGTTTCATCACTGACCGTATTCTGTTGTATTACAGACTGGTAGAAACAATCGGGAAGCTTACAGTCCACCACATCAATCGTATCTTTCAGGATCGAAGTTGCAAGAGCGTAATCGAACTGCACTTTCAAATGCACTCGATTACGCGTGCATTCCAGTGCATTCTCGCGCTGGCTGAAAATTTAGCGGCTTAATGGACCGAAACGTCTTATCTCATTCGTTCTTCCTTCCATTTCTTCTGTTTTCTATCTTATACATCTTCCTCACTTTTATACCCAAGATCAACCTGGACGCTACAATCGACTTAGCATTTCTGGCAACTCCAGCAGGGGAAAGGGGAGGGGCGTGAAGTAAAGAAGCCGAATTACTGCAGTATTTTTTAATTGTGCCGATATGTATTTGAATTTGAATATGGGACCAATAAGCCTGACCTCGGTAAGATGCTACTTATAATATTTTTAGCTTTTAATTTATCAATTATAATAACTAATTCTAATATAATTAATTTGATGTAACTAATTTAAATTTAATTTACACCATTTAAAATTACAAATCAATCGTCGTACTGTTGACGAAGTCCAATTGTGGTAATGGTAGGAAATGTAGAGAACTTAATGGACCGAAACATTTCCTATCATTATAATAATTTTATCAAAATAATTTTACTATTTTATAATAATTTTATCAAAATAATTTTACTATTTTTACTAAATTAGTATTTCCTTAATATTATTTTCTTTACTCTTCCTTTTTCTACTTCTAAATATCTTTCTGTTTCATAACTGGAATGAGAGACAGCAGATGGACAAACGATAAATAATCCCAATAAACTAGGAAAGGCGCTAACAGGGAAAAAAGGATCCACTTAAACAACTACACGATTTTACTTGGATATACAAGTTCACAATGAAGAAGCTGTCAGTTTCTCGTTGATTTTGAGGTACTTGTTCAGTATTTGCTCAAGATAATGGCAAATAATTGAAAATTTAAAATTTCTAAAGCACCGATAAAAAAAAAGCAGGAACCATTTGCGAAAGACATATCCCAAGTAGGACACAGCGAAATCCTCCTCTGCATTGGCTACAAATTTCGAATCATAGAATCCCTTCGAATCGCCTTCTTGCAAATGAAACCAATCCGATATATTCGTAAGAAATTCGTCTAATTTTTCCGGTAGCTCAGCGTAGAAATGCTGATAGATAAATGTCAAATCAATCAAACCATTATGGAATGCCAGAGGTACATCAGCACACAATATCTCATGCCACAGATCCGCCAAAATTTTCTTCTGCAATATTTGCTACTAAAAATCGCGAAAATGCCTCAACCATAATCAAATTTGCATAGGAAATGGTTTCAATGAAAAATCTATGAAATATGTTGCAAAAGGAAGAAGGTGCTAGCAGAAAAGAAAAGAAAACGGTGACCAAAAGCCCTTCGCCTTCCCCAGCTGCCTTCGATTCCAGCTGATATGCAAATGTCCCGTGTCTCCTGGTTCGAGTTCTCCTTCCGTGATATGTAATGTGGTGATTAGAAATGAAATGTGGATTGTTTTTGTTGTGACAAGAAGTGTGCAGTGACAGCTTGGAGCCGCTGCCACACCCTCCCTCGATACCGTATGGGCGGTAGAACAGCTTGCAGTTGCTGCCAAATTTTTTTTTTTTTGCGTTTATTTTCTGATTTTTATGCGTTTTTTGCAGCTAAGCAATGCAAAAACGCATATTAGGTTTTCTGTGAGTCTGTGTGTCTGTGTGTGCGTCTATCAACACTTTCATCTTAAGACCTATAAAAGCTGCAGGGCTGAAATTTCGGGAACTTAATCTACATGGACGTGCCGGCCCCAATCCCCAAAATTGGCGCCATTACCCGCGTGGTACTCGCGTACCGGCCCGCCAAAGTTTTTTTGGGGTAAGTTCATGACTCGGGGATCTGAGAAGCTAAAACGCTGAAATCTTAGGGGGATGTTCCCCGCCTAACTGGATGTTAATGCACTCAAACCCACCCTCGGGTAAGCGCAGCACCCACGTACGGGTCCTCCAAAATCTTTTTCGGCTATGTTCATAATTCGGGGATCTGAGAAGCTAGAGTGCTGAAATCTTAGGGGGATGTTCCCCATCCAAATAGGCGACAACTCAGGAGCCAGGAAAGCTAGAAAGCTGAAATTTTAAGAGGCTGTTTCCTGCCAGTTCTACCGGCCAGTCTTAATTTGTTCAGCTAAAAGCATTTGCCGAAAAACCGATGCCGGTAGCGACAAAAACTGCGGGAAACTATGCAAAAAACAAATCTTCGCACGGGCAGCCCGTGCGCTGGCCAATTATTTTTTTGGTTCTGCACTTCTGTACTAATGAAGGATTGTTTATTAATTTGGACTAATGCCCAGCAGCAGTCTTCCCCCTCCCCCTTTCGCGCGTTACAGATATTATCAGACATATTATTGTAGTAACACTTCGTGACAAATATGGCAATACAAAAATTTCGAAATAAGCATTCCCTCAGCTAACTGTATTTTTTAAAATTTTGTCTGCCAAAGAACATATAGTAATCGTCCAAGTTTCCCAGTGCATCTACTTCTAAACTCAATCTTCCCCCCCCCCCCTTTTATTTTCTTCTCAAATCCCTTAGTTCCTTGAAATTCCAAACTTTTTTACTAATTAAAAAACTTCTTCAGACAAGTTACGGGGTACCAATGTTCCAAATTCATTAACGCACATTTTCACCATACGAAATTCCAGAACTTATCCAAAGATTGAAATCGAAATTGTGTTTCAACAAAAACTGCAATCCGTTAGGCTCCACACAGAATGGCGCTGTATAGAGCGTTAAAAGATTGAAAACCTGTAAAATAAAGGAATTCACTCCGCACAGTACAACTATTTAAATTAAACTCAAATTCATACTAATTACCACAATCGTAGTTGCGACGAGGTCCAACTGTGGTAACGACAAGAAATGTATACAACTTAATAGACCGAAATATTTCTTACCATTTTGATATATTTTACAATACATTTTAAGTTATAAGTCCCTCCTACCTTGGAACTATGCAAGAACTAGGAATAAAGTTGTAACACTGCTACTTAGAATTACTTCAAGCTTTATTTTTAGCTTTAGACCCCGGCTTTTGTAGGACTGGTGCCTGTGCAGGACGAAAGATCCTTCGTCCCCGTCCCCCCCCCCC